GGGAGAAGAAAAGGAAGTAAGTCTTTTGTTTTGGTGTGAGAGCTTGAACCTAGTGCCCTATGCATGCTGAACAAGTGATAAGTCATTTTAATAATATATTTTATTAAACCAAACTAGATAAAATATATCAGTTTTAATATATCATCCATATACAAATGGGTACATAACATTCATTTTTGGTACTAGGCCTTTGAGATCCAATGTGTGCTTTATACTTACAGTCATCTCTATTCAGATAAGCTATACTGTATTGCAAATGTTCAAGAGCCCTGTATGGCCAGCACAGACTGTATTGGACAGTACATCCCCAAATGATGGCACTCTTTGCCAGGCCATCTGGTAATGAGGTTTCAGAGAAGCCCTCTGGCTGGGCCAGCAGCCAGGCAAAGGGGTGGCAGGAAGGAGGCAGATCTGCTCTGAGCCTCTGCTCCTTCCACAAGAGCTGTCTCAAACACTTGATACCAAGTTGGCTCTTCTTCCAGGCTTTCCTCCTCCAGGAAACATTCCCAAACCCTGCTTCACTCCAGCCCAGCTGGCCCTGTCCTGGCCACCCTGCAGGACCTTTGCTGTTCTACCAGGAAAAAGTCCAAGACACTCGGCAAGAAACTGACCACAGGGGATTGTCAGTGTGTGTAAGGGGTGGTAGTGTCCATGACAAGGGTTCTGGTTGAGGAGACCTGGTTCGTCCGGGAGGGTTCCTGGAGGAGGGTCCCACAACAAAGGAACTGGCATACCGGGAGAGAGACAGAAGCCTCAGCAGTAAGGAACCAGACAGGAGGGAGGAAGTCCTGGATAGCACTCACCCAGCATGTATTGCCTGAGAAGGGATATGTGGATGGGGACACAGGGGTTCCCAGTTACCAATGCCAGGTAGGGGTTTACATCTAGGCACTACTGGGCCCCAGGAGATCTAAAGCAGGGGGCAGAGGAAGGGGACTCTTCGGGAGTCTCAGGGAGCCCCAGACATCACTTTCTTCTCACAGGGGTTTCAGTGCACATTCTGGCAGGTACCACCCTTACCTCCTCCTGCTGCTCCTTCTTGACCCTGTGGGATGGACTCATGGCTGGGTCCTGGCAGTTTCCAGTTTGGTGATCTGAGGATCTAATCCAAACTACTCCAGAAACACCCCACATGTTTTTGTCTTCAGGATCACTGGAGGTTGAGCAAGGGGCTCCTTTATCTCCACCATGCTTCCATCTTGGGACAGGTATTCTAAGAAAGGCCCATATGGCCCCAGGGTCATCTGGGCTCCCAGGAGCCCTTCAGGCTTTCTGGAAGGAGAACTTTCTGAAGGGCTCTTTCTCCTCCTCCTGCTCTCTCACTTCTGACTCTGAGTGACAAGGTTTTGGTTGCTCTCAGCCTAGGTGTATCCAGAGGGCATTCTACCCTGTCTCTCCAGTTACCAAGCCCTCTGAGGAGCTGGGGACTTGCTACAAGTGCTCTTGAATGCTTTAGAGTATAACTCTTGAGTCACAGCAGGAGTCAACAAGCC